TACTTGTCTGTACATATCTGTGAATCTGTTTTCATGTTTTTATATAATAATTTTCAAATACTATTATTGCATATTTCAAGATTTTGGACACCAACATTGTTGAAATTACTATCCAAAAAATGGGATACCAGATCTTTGGGGGGGATACCAGATTTCAATACCTGGTATCCCGAATGGATACCATAATAAAAATCTAATTTCGACCCCTGGTGAGGCGGTGTTTTGGACAAATTACTGTGTGGTGGCTGAGAATTTAAGCAAGGCGGCCCGCCTCGCTTGTGTCAATGCAGGGGAAACATTGCCACTAGTAAAGCCAGATTATTTTATTGGGTGAATAAATAGGATATATATTATATATTATAGCTGTACGACATGTCACATATGTAGAATTGTAACAGGAAGAATGGAGAGAAAAGACTAATGCGTGCAGTTACGGCGGGGATCACTCGTCAGATAACCTCTGACCTTTATTGTCACTTATGTAAAAAGGTAGCTTAAGTGAAAAGATCGCTCAGAACATTACATCTATCCCTAGCCACAAGTTCCCATCTCGCTTAACACTACGTGGCAAGAGGTAACTAGTCGTGTAACTAGTCGGAGAGCCTGGTCGGTTTACATCTATCCCCAACTTGGAAACGTTGATTAATTGTATAATGATAAACAAAATACTCTACGACATAACCTGTCAATTATTATGGTACAGAAAATGAATCAAACAGTTATAAAACATCTGATAGCATATATATAATAAGCATACTAGTACTGACAACTGAGAACAAAACTTGACGCGATAGATACAGTTATGATATGCACACAATTATACACATTTTGCTCTGGTCAGCTTATTATGTCAAATAGTCCTTCAAATATGCTGGACGGCGGTGCTCCCTCGCCCGATGCACCTTGGATGAACTGTCCAACGGTCTCTCCTCCGTCTGGCTGTCCTGATCGGATTCTACATGTGTCCCCTCATTCTCTCCAGTATGATCCGGAATGACATCCCCATTACTTTCTGAACCGGACATGTCCTGTGACTGGTATCTGGCATCCACTGCCTTGAACCTGGATATATTTCTGGTCACCGGTTTGAAGCCATGCGTAGCGGTCAACATATCACCTTTACGTATCACTACTGATGAATGACGATGTCAATACATATGTGTGATAATGAGCGTTTATTAGGAGCGCTCGTATAATACAGCTTTACGCCATTGTGACCGGCGAGTAAGATAGTTAGGTATTACTGCGCACCGTATAACCCCGAGCTACAATGTAGTCCTTCGCGTACACTGTGTACATACTGTTACATCCCCCTTACTAAAATAAGCATTATATATATGCATCTAATAATAGAATGCTAAACATACAGGTATTGCTGGACTGGGTATACTGTGTAGAATAAACGAATTATTACAGTAGCGAAAGTTGTCCGTGTTACGATTATTGTAATTCTGGTAAATGGTGCACACAGCATTAGATCTTTTACCCATTGAACTGAATATGTCTACATTATTGCATTCATACAGTCTTGGCGCATTACATGTAAATTACACAACTGCATAATGAAAATGAATACATAAATGAACATTAGAGAACCTCTGGTTCTTGTCACACCCATGAATTATTATGCCATTTCAGCACGGTGTGTCACAAACACTATTACTTGCAATATAGCCTAATGATGTACAGTCATGACACAGGAATGTGAACAAAACAATCTTCCAGTGGCTGTGGGATATGTAATGAAGTAAAGTAAATATGAATACAACTAATATGCCACTCTAGATACTATGATATACACTGCTGAGATATTACATGTGGCTCAGCTTAGTAGTCACTTGTTACTCAAACTTGTCTGGTTTCTTCACAACCCTACCCGAACGGGTCTTATACGGGCTCTTGCACAGTGTCTGCTTACTGTCCATATTTGGCAGATTACTGGCTCTGGTTCGCATCGGTTCCACTGGTGCAGGTGTATGCGACATCTCTGGAGGTCGAGTATGTCCACGAGCATCGTTCGGATTGCTGCTACGGACACCACTGGACAGGCTACGTGCATGCGTTTCCTGCTGGATCGGATATGCGAACGTTACACGCTTCTTTCTCTCGGGGAAGTGTGGAACCTCTCGAATATGTATTCGGTTCCGTCTCAACTGGCTTCCATTGGGGCTAGCAACAATATACGACCGAGGCTCGTCGCAATTCGACACAATGGTTGCTGGCTGCCAACGATTAGTGTTGTAGTCCTGGACTGTCACTGATTGTCCAGGCATGAGGGGCGGCAAATCGTTTGCCACACGATCATGATACTCTTTCTGTGTCACCTGTCGCTTCTCTAGTTGTTCGCGGATATTGTCTGCATCGCGATGTTGTTGTATCTGCTTGACAGGGATATTTCCTCTCAACTTGCGACCAGCGAGCAGCTCACCTGGGCTTGGTAGTTGCTGACTTACCGGCGTGGTGCGAAGACACAGCATAGCCATGTGAACATCAGTGTTCGCTCGTTTCGCCTTGCTAAGCAAACTCTTTACAGTACGAATCGACATACTCGACAAAACCGTTAGACTGCGGAAATCTAGGCGATGACGTTACATGGTCAAAACACCACTGTCTCGCGAATTCTCTGTAGCTCTCTGAAGCATACTGAGGTCCGTTGTCGCTTATCACACGGGTGGGGATTCCGTGTTCGGAAAATACCTGCTTGGTATGCTCGATAACGACTTTACTGGTAAACTGGCTTGGCAGTTTCCGAATAATCGGAAACTTGCTGTAGTAGTCCGCAATTATCAGGAACACACTGCCATCGAACTGGAACAGGTCTGTGCCTACGACCTGCCAAGGACGGCTAGGTATTTCATGCGGTAACAGCGTTTCCTGTGTCTGCGATGGTTGGTACTCTTGGCATACTGGGCATTCCTTGATCAGAGTGTCAATGTCTTTATTTATTCCGCTCCAGTACACTGCATCCTTAGCACGCAGGCGTGTTTTCTCTATGCCCTGATGTCCATAGTGTAGGTTCTCGAGTACCTCCTTCCGTACCTCAGCTGGGACTACGACACACTGTCCGTTCAGAATAATGCCATTTTCCACTGATAGTTCATCACGGTACGACCAATATGATCTGATTGGTGTAGGGATCTCTCTTGATTGTTTCTGGCCAGCCAGTAGTGATAGTTTCACTTAGCTGGTTGAGTGTGGAGTCTCACCTAGTAGCTCTCGTACGCCTATTTAGGCGTTCTTGTGCTAAATCTCACGAGTCAACTCTCACATCAAGATCAATGGTAACTTCGGTTTTCTGAGCTTGGTAGTCGCGATAATGTATCGCGCTACTGTCATCTCCCTTCCGGCCGGTATTCAATGTCTATACGGTATCCCTGGAGCTTTCAGCATCTACGCTGTTAGCCTGGCCGTGCGTGCTCTCTGTCAGAGCCTTTTTGCAGAATCATGACTAACGGTTTGTGGTCAGTCAGGGTCTTTTTGTGAAACTGCGGCCGCTAGAGATATGTATGAAGCCGTTTGCTACACAAATTACTATGGGAGTAGCCTCCGTTCGATACAGCCATAAGCGCCTTCTCTACGTCAGATAGTGTTTTGGAAGCATATGCCACCGGTTTCCCATTCTGCAACAGAGCCGCGCCCAGTCCTTTGAGGCTTGCATCAGCTTGCAGTACTGGCGACTGACTGGTGTCAAAGTACTGCAGCGTGGAGTCTCCCGTCACTGCTCGTTTGAGCTCATCAAAGCTCCGCTGGTTATGGTCCTCCCACATGAATGGCACATCTTGTTTTAGCAGGTCACGTAGAGGTGCTGCTTTGTCGGCCAACCTGGAGATGAACGGTGACAAGTACGTTACGAATCCCAGGAATTCTTGTAACTCCTTCTTAGTAGCAGGGCTTGGCATAGCCTGCAGGTCGGCTATTTTCCCTGTGTCAGGGTGTACGCCCTTATCGGAGTATGTCATACCAAAGAAGGCAATGCTGTCGGACTTGATGTTGCACTTGGTCGAGTTGAACACTAGACCAGTCTTGGCGGCGACACACATCAGTCTGTGCAGAATCTGATCGTGTTCCTCATCAGTTTTAGCATAGACTGCTACATCGTCTGCTATGCCTACTGCACCATCCACTTGGTCCAGGATCTGATCCATTTTCAATTGAAAGATGTCCTGCGAGACGGACAATCCGAATGGCAGACGTACAAAACAATATCTCCCAAACGGCGATTGGAATGTGGTGAGGAGCTGCGATTCCTCGTCAAGTTTTATTGACCAGTATCCCGCTTTCGCGTCAAGCTTTGAGAATACCTTAGCCCCTGCGAAATGGAGTGTGAGTTCTTCTAAAGTAGGTATCTTGTGATATGGACGTTTTAGTGCTCGGTTGAGATATCTTGGATCCAAACAGACACGCAGGGATCCGTCTTTCTTGTGCGAATAGGCCAAACTAGACACCCAGTCTGATGGTTCTGTCACCTTACGTATGACGTGGTTTTCTTCCATGTAATCCAGCTCTTTCTTTATTTCGTCTTTCAGTGCAATAGGGGTTTTTCGAGGTGCATCAACGTGCGCTGGCGCATTTGGATCGACTGTAATCTTGAATGTGCCTGGCATACATGCAATCCTGTCGAATTGTTCGGGGTACAGTCGCTTCAGGTCATGCACGTTCCCTATGGAAGATACGTCTGCTCTCGTAGATGATTTTGTTGTCACGCTATTAGCAATGTTTGTGCTGTTGATTGCACAGTGTAGTGTCACTAATTTTAGCCGTTCACTGGATTGTAGACCAATAACAGCTGGTCCTTCCACGTCCACTATGTAGAATCTGCAGTCGGTCCATTCAGAACCATTATAGCTGCATGGCACGTCAATAGCTCCACGGCACGGGCTTTCACACATACATTCGACACTGGCATGAGTTGCCGTTGCTGTCTGAGGCGTCTTGAGCACACACAGTTTCCGCTGCCACCATGATGAATGACGATGTCAATACATATGTGTGATAATGAGCATTTATTAGGAGCGCTCGTATAATACAGCTTTACGCCATTGTGACCGGCGAGTAAGAGAGTTAGGTGTTACTGCGCACCGTATAACGCCGCGCTACAATGTAGTCCTTCGCGTACACTGTGTACATACTGTTACAACTACCTCGTGTAACTTAGGGTAATACGGTGGATCCAGCTTACGCAGATGTGGATCCTGTAGTATGACAGCGTCACCTACACAGATATCCGACTCGCATGCTCTCCGTCGTTTGTCCGCATATCTCTTCATTCTGTCCTTTGCATTTTTGTCACTGAGCAGCACATTTTTGCGAATATCCTCTTTTGAGAAACTCTGAATGCTGGGTAATTCTGTTCTGATATTCCTGTGGAATAGAGCTTCTGCGGGTGCTACTTTTGTTGACGAATGGGGTGTAGCCCCGTACTGTCTGAGGAATTTCCACAGTTCCTGCTTCCACGGTTTCGTCTGAGACTCGGAGGTATGCAGATTCTTCTTCAGCGTTCTCATGAACCGCTCTGCCTCGCCGTTAGCCTCTGGCCACTCCGGCGTGATCCTTCTAAGTTTTGATGACCTGCAGCTCTGAATTATCTGTGATTTAATCTCTCTCTCCACGTTATTAAACTCACAGTTCGACGACAGTTTCCTTAGCTTTACATGAAACGCATCAATGTCTTCATGCGCTTCCTGTTTTGCAGTCCTGAACTTGAAAATCTCGTACTCCACGTTGTTATGGGGTCTAACGTACGCATCAAACGCAGCAAGTGCCTGGTCGCACGATTCCCCAGTGTCCAGAAGATTATCGAAAATCTCTGTGAACTCTTCGCCTGCCACGTATAGCTTTCTGCTGTTCCTGATTTCGAACGTTCATGGCTTTCATTAAATTGTTGAAGCCTTTTTTCCACTTATTCCATCGTTGGAACAACGTTGTCGGTTCTTCACGGACGTGGAAGTTCGGATATGCTGGCAGGCTAGCCAACGACACAGCTGCCTCTTCCGCCATATTGGATTTTTCGCGTCTCTCCTCTACCATCATGGTTCCTCTCTCCCTCTAACCATCAAGGCTTCCTCTCTCCCTCTAACCCTCATTGATTCCTCTCTCCTAGAAACCTCAGGCTTCCTTTCCCTCAACCATAACGGCTCTCTTTCCTCTACTCACGCTGCTTTCCTCTCGAACCCTCAGTTCCTTTCGTCCCTCTAACCTCATGGCTTCCTTCTCTTCTCCTTCTAACCATCACGGCTTCCTCCTCCCTTCTAACCATCGACTGGGCTTCCTCTCTCCCTATAACCATCACGGCTTCTCCTCCTCTCTAACCATCGACT